ATAAAATAAAAAGATAAAAGTGATTATTATTTATTATTATTGTTATTTTTATTTTTATTAGCATTATTAGCATTATTATTAATATTATTATTATTATTGTTAATCATAACAATGAATAAATAAATATATAAATAAATAAAACAACTAAATATTTATTATTATTATTATTATTAAATATGTAATATTATTATTATTATTATTATTAGTATTATGAAAATACATTAAAAAGTTATTTATTTATTTTTTAAATAATATTGACAATTATATTGTAATTATATGTATAATAATAATAATAATAATAATAATAAATAATAATAATAATAATAATAATAATTATTATTATTATTATTATAACAACAACAACAACAATATTAATATTAATAATATTAATAATATCAATAATATTAATAATATATTAATTATTATTATTATTATTATTATTATTATTATTATTATTACTACTATTATTGACAATAAATAAATAATATTTAATATTTATTATTTTATTTCTTCTTCTTCTTCTTCTTCTTCTTAATATTATTATTATTATTATTATTATTATTATTTTCCAAATAAATTAAATTAAAACACATTCTTATTAATCATAAAAAAATATTATTTATAAAAAAAATTATTATTCATACGTTTCCAGAATTACAACATTATTAAAATGCAGCATAAATGCAAGAAAAAACACAAGTAAAAAAAATAAAAAATACATGAAATCTTATTCAAATTGAATGCATAATCATAATTACTGGATGACTGACAGAATTTAAGTAAATCTATTTCCAGCATGGTCACTTGATTCTATTCTGAAGTAAACATACAACAATAGCCAAGTCAAACCTACCAGTTGCATTTACATTTTCTATAAATAAAGGCAATGTTTTGTGCGCATTACGATTTTTTTCTTCCCCTGCATGTTGTGGTTCCACAATGAATGGTGTTATTAGTGTTGTGTCGTTTGGCTCCATCGACAGGAGCTGATTTCATCGTATGGCTGCATCCTCGCCAATCGCCTTTGCAAATCAAGAATGCATGTGGTCCCTCAGACGGAAAGACTATAACAGATGAATAATTGAGAGCCTGATGCAGGGATGAAGGCACACATTAAACATCGGCCCACTGGAATCGACTTGCCCTGACGTGCCGTAAGCTACAGCCCTAATGTAAATAATTAGTTCTTTCCCCCAACACTTCGATAATGAGTCCTATAAAATGGGCAATGGCCTGCATGTGTATTTAAGACTGGCTATAAAATCAGTGTGAAAGAGGCATCGGGGGCCTGCTGCGACTCGCATGGGAGAGTGTGTAGAGCGTATTAAACACTCTATCAAAGATGCTTTGAAACTGTTGAGTTATTCATAATTTACAGTATACTTAGGCAACAGACGAGCAGAAAGTAGTTCACTGTATTAAAGCTATTTAAGGGGAAGCATATCCTTTTGGTGGAATTGTTTCATTTTTATAATTAGAGACGGCAAAATTGGGATCTCAATTAGGCAGACTATGTTAAATTCAATGTTAATTTATTCTGAATTCAAGTAATTAGGTAGGAAAGGAAAAAATATATGACAGATATTACAGATATTACATGCCTAAATTCAACCCAAGCTCATTCTGGAAATGTAGCCCTGCGGCATTTCTGGAGACCGCTATTTACGTAGCCGGAGGTATGTATGGCCACGTTTAGTTTTTTTATGGAGCGAACAATACGGGGCGGTGTGACGCCGCTCCTTTTCTTCACGCTCGCCGGCTCACCTCAGTGTGGAGGGCTTTCCCACTGAAACCAGTTTGTCTGCTTAGCTTGCAGCGTTATGTCGGCAGATTGGAGGCCAGGAGGGAGGAGGAGCCGGCCACGGCGACGACCGGGATCGAGTCCGGGAAAGAGCGATTCCAGAAATCAGGTAAGATGAAAAACAGAATCCAAAAAATAAAAGTGAACGAGTTAGAGACGGGGCGAGATCCGAAAACGCGGTCAAAATCGGACAAGGGCTTTTGCTTTTTTTTCTGGACGGCTTTTGCTAGAAGGAGGAGGGCGGCTGGGTCGGCCGATTGGCCTCTCGCGGATTCGCAAAAACAAAAACTGCTCGAATACGTACCTACCGGGACGTATTTCGCGGTCTACAGAAACGTCCGCGGGGCTACGTTTCCACAATGAGCCCGGGTTGCCTAAATTAGAGAAGGTTGGGAAAGTATGCAAATTGCATATAAAATGATAGTAGTGATTTCAAGTCCTCCGAGTCCAAGGCTATGGTGCTCCACCGGAAACAGGTGGTTTGCCATCTTCAGGTTGGAGGGAAGTCCTTACCTCAGGTAGAGAAGTTCCATAGATATATACACTAGATGTCGCCTGGCCTGTTGTTGTCTATTGTACGGAATGCGTCAATAGCTCCGCCATCTTGCTACAGGGTAGCGCTCCTTTGAAATGAATGCGGGACCAAGGTACAGTGGAGGACTGTGGCCATCCAAAGCCAGAGATACACACATATACACATATATCTATGATCAGGAGTTTTCCTGGATGTTAGTATGTAATTTTTTTTTCTAATTACGAAAATTATAATTTTACATCACTTTTCTACATTGATGGATCAGTGACCGCACGGGCATTCCTGACAAAAAGCTTGTGTTTGTGTGTACAGAAATGTACTATCCACCCTGCCTGTTAAATTTGATCTAATCATGTCCTGAAACACAGCTCCTCTCCTGCTTTCACTTCTCATACTGACGGAGGGGGCGATTCGTTTGTGAATGAATCCCCCGAACGACTCTTTCACTAACGTTAGCTGACAATAATACAAGTTTCTGGCAGGGCAGCATCTCGTTGTCATATTTCTTTTGCATTGTTTGCTGATTTTATTCAACAAAACTAGCATAAGCCGTGTGTTTAGTGCGAGTTGGAGCTGCTTTGCCTATGGTGAATGCAGTAAGTGACTGTTATCACCAATAACGTTACCTGATTAGCACAAAAGTTCAGAACTTTCAAAAACAGAAAAAAACTTAATATTACCTATGAAATGTTCTGCCTTTGTGCTTTGTTTTCTTTGTTTTCTCGTTACTACACCCGTAGACAGCGCTAAAGTCCCGCATCTTCACGTAATAACACTGTCTTGTCTATTGCGGTTGAATGACATTTGTCCTGAGAGTACTGTACCAATGTGGCGGCGCTATTGACGCATGATGAGGGTCCATATGCGATATCTAGTGTATATACCTATGGAGGAGTTCAAGTATCTCAGGGTTTTGTTTGTGAATGAGGGATGGATGGAACATGAGATTGACAGGGGGATCGGTGCAGTGGCAGCAATAATAATATGTCGATGTATAGGTCTGTTGTGGTAAAGAAGGAGCTGAGCCTGTTGTGGAAAAAAGATTCTGGTCTGCAAAATATTCTAAGTCGCTAAGTCAAACTTTTCAAAAAATGACAAAGTCTGAGATCTCCGATGTCTTTAGGCAAAGCAGTTTATTGTTACAGCATCAGTAACAACAGAGACAGGTCGTTCGAGTGTCTGCCAAACATAGGCTTGCACACAGTTTAAATACACTTCTGTGTCTTAATACTCCACCCAAATTTACTCATCACACACCTCCATCAGCTTCTGCGCTAATGGGATCTTATATCTCTCAGGTGCCCGCCACCAATAGAATCTCAGGGTCTTTCAGGGGTCTTAACCATGTCCAATTAAGGTCTTTTCTTCCTGTTTTAAAAGTGATGGCTCAGCCAAAAAACAATGCTCAACAATTTATCTTGTTCACTGTCCACTGAGCTGTCAACTGTAAGTTCAGCTAAAGTTTATGGGTACTCATATTTTTTAGATGTCATTACAAATGAGTGTAGGCGCACGTGCAGGTGTGCCTTATCATGAGTTACAGAGCAGAACGCAGGTGTCCTTATGACCTTGCATCCATAAATCTACCCTTATTGTGACATTAATGCTGCTCTTATTTATCTTCTCATCTCTGACTGCATTTACACAGAATGACTTTTTTATTTACCAAAGCACACATACCTGATAATAATGCCACAGGTATGGGTAATAATAAAGTAGATAATAATAATAATAATAATAATAATAATACTGAAATCACTCAAATAAGCATATAAATGAGAGTAATTCATTCATCAGAAATTCATCAAAACACAATAAATTCCCCAACAAGCCAAAAGACAAAGCTTTTGATGTACTGGTCAATCTACGTTCCTACTCTCACCTATGGTCATGAGCTTTGGGTCATGACCGAAAGGACAGGATCTCTGATACCAGCAGCCAAAATGAGTTTCCTTTGCAGAGTGTCACCCGGGAGGAGCTCGGAGTTGAACTGCTGCTCCTCCACATTGGGAGAAGTCAGCTGAGGTGGCTTGAGCATCTGTTTCTGATGCCTTCTAGATGCCTACTTAGGGCTCAGGGAAGACCCAGGACACGCTTGAGGGACTATGTCTCTCGACTGGCCTGGGAAAACCTTTGGGATCCCCACAGAGGACCTGGAAGAAGTGTCTGGAGAAAGGGAGGTGTGGAGTTCTCTCGTATGTATGTATGTATGTATGTATGTATGTATGTATGTATGTACGTATGTATATGTGTGTGTGTGTGTGTGTGTGTGTGTGTGTGTGTGTGTGTGTGTGTGTGTATGAATTTATTTTTTATTTTATTGAATTACTATTTGTTCTTTTTCTTCTTCTAATATTATTAAAATAAACAAATACATTTATTAATATTTATCCATTTTGCAATAATATTATTAATAATTATAAATAATAATAATAATAATAATAATTATTATTATTATTATTATTTTTATTATTATTATTAGTAGTAGTAGTAAACAAACAAACAAACAGTTATTATTATTATTATTATTATTATTATTATAAATAAATAAATAAATAAATAAATAAATAAATAAATAAATAAATCATTAGTATTTTATTATTATTATTATTAATACTTTTTAGTATGATGATAACTGGAAATTTTTTTTCAAAATACATTAAATTAAAACACATTCTAATTATTTATTTTATTTCTTACTATTCATACATTTCCAGAATTAGACCATTATTAAAATGCAGCATGCATACAAGTAAAAACACAAGTAAAAAAAATAAAAAAATTGCATTTGTCTCTTGGCTGGCCTGAGAACGCCTTGGGATCCCCCGGAGGACCAGGAGGAAGTGTCTGGGGAAAGGGAGGTGTGGAGTTCTCTCCTCAGACCGCTGCCCCCACAACCGATCCTGGGAAAGCAGATATGAATGAATGAACAAACGAACGAATGAATAAATGAACTAATGAATGAGTGAATGAATGAATGAATGAATGAATGAATGAATGAATGAATGAATGAATGAATGAATGAATGAATGAATGAACGAACGAACAAATGAATGACTGAATGAATAAGAGTAGTGATTTCCAAATTTACTTGTATTTCATTGCATTGTACTATGAACATTAAAGTATATACAGGTTGTATTAGCTATTAGCTAATTAATTAAAGTTGTTAGTAACTAATTAATTGATGGTAACAAATAACCTTCACTTTTCTGATTTTGAGTATAATGCAATAATTTCAATCATTTATAAAGCTGCTTTGAAACAATAATTAATGTGAAAAGCGCTATACAAATAAACTTGAATTGAACTGAAGATACTTATCCTCATTTATCCTAGGAATTTGCATTTCTAAAGCATGCTTTGATTTTAAAGAGAGAAGAAAAACTCTAAGATAAACTCATACAAAGATCAATGTGGTAATTCTTTATTTTATTTATTCCTGTATTTAAAACAGTTTTCCTTGCATTATACAAACTGTTTTTGTATTTAAACTCATAGCATTGCTGTCTTCACGTATAGCTACTTCTAAATATTGCTTCTGAATCATATAAGATGAGCACTTTCTTTGTAATTGTGGACACTTGAGTATGCATATAAAACCGGTAGTTTGCATGCATTTAGAGGGTTATTTCGAGGGTTTTAAGCTTCATTTAAAGAGTAATTGAAGCTGTGATTTTCTAACTGACTCACTTAATTGACATCATGGACTGTCTGCATTTGCTTTCTTGCTTATTCCAGCTTTCCCTAAGTGAGTAGACTGAAATGCAAACGTTAATGACTTCTATGAATCATAACATGGTGTCTCTTTTCATATTTATCAGGCTCGACTGGCATCACATTCCGCTACATTATATTGCCTTTTTGGAGCTTGAAAAAAGTTTGCACATTCAGAAGATTTATATTTAAAGTGCCCCTATTATGCTTTTTCTTCAAATATTACTATTCATGTAGCTGTTTGTAAATGTAAAAGGTCTCACATCTCACAGTGCACATAAATGGAGTTATTGTCTCCCATAAGAAAGAGGCAATTCTGAGTTGCCTGAAAAGAGTCGTCAGTAATTCTGTGTAATGTATGCGTGGTGAAAGCCGATCCACTTTGCATACACTTTGAGGAATGAGGACTCAAGCTTAAAGAGATGTAGTAAAGCCACCGCCATTGTTTCCATTGCATTCAGGATCAAGAGCCGAAAATCAGATATATGATAATAGTTGTTTGGTTTTCAACACAGGCTGAAGTGTAAGCTGTAGCCTAATCACAACAGATTGAGTCATCTGAACAATCACAACAGACTGTATCATCTGACCAATCACAACAGAATGTGTCACCTTACCAATCAGAACACACTGTGTCATCTGACTAATCACAACAGACTGAGTAATCTGACCAATCAAAACAGACTGTGTCATCTGACCAATCACAACAGACTGGGCCATCAGACCAATCACAACAGACTTTGTCATCTGACCAATCACAACAGACTGTGTCATCAGACCAATCACAACAGACTTTGTCATCTGACCAATCACAACAGACTGTGTCATCAGACCAATCACAACGAACTGTATCATCTGACCAATCAGAACAGACTGGGCCATCAGACCAATCAGTCTGTTGTGATTGGTCAGATGACTCAGTCTCTCCTGATTGGTCTGTTGTGATTGGCCCTACTCTACTATGATTGGTCTGATGGTCCGATGTGTTCTGAATTGGTCAGATGACACAGTTCTTTGTGATTGGTCCAGATGACAAAGTCTGTTGAGATTGGTCAGATGACAAAGTCTGTTCTGTCTGGTCAGATGACGTAGTCTGTTGTGATTGGTCAGATGACAAAGTCTGTTGAGATTGGTCAGATGACAAAGTCTGTTGTCAATGGTCTGATGACAAAGTCCTTTTGTGATTGGTCAGATGACAGTCTGTTTCTGATTGGTCTGATGACAGTCTGTTGTGATTGGTCAGATGACACAG